TTACTTGATGAACCAACTAATCATTTGGATTTGGATGCTTGTGTTTGGTTGGAGGAAGAATTGAAAACGTATAAACGAATTTTGGTTATCATCTCTCATTCACAAGATTTTCTTAATGGCATTTGTACAAATATTATACATGTCAATAAGAAACAATTAAAATATTACACAGGAAATTATGAAGCTTTTGTTAAAACAAGGTAAAAGTATAAATATTTGATTTTTCAATAATGATCCAATAATTTGTATATTATAATTTTTATTCAATTATTTTATCAGAATGGAATTATTGGAGAATCAAGCGAAACAATACAATTGGGAACAAGATCAAATTGCCCATATGAAAAATTATATTGCAAGATTTGGGCATGGTTCTGCTAAATTGGCAAGACAAGCTCAATCAAAAGAGAAGACCTTAGCAAAAATGGTGGCACAAGGTCTTACGGAAAAAGTTGTCAATGATAAAGTATTAAATTTTTATTTTCCATCTTGTGGAACTATACCACCACCTGTTATCATGGTGCAGAATGTGAGTTTTCGTTACAATGAAAATTCTCCCTGGATATATAAAAATTTGGAATTCGGTATTGATTTAGATACTAGACTTGCTTTAGTTGGCCCTAATGGTGCAGGAAAGAGTACATTATTAAAATTACTTTATGGTGATGTAAGTTAAAAAAAAAAAAAAAAAAGAAGTTAAATCATATCGTAATATTTAAAATATCTATTGCTAATAAATATTATATTATTTCAGTTGGTCCCTACAAGTGGTATGATACGTAAAAATAGTCATCTACGTATAGGAAGATATCATCAGCATTTACATGAACTTTTAGATTTGGATATTTCTCCATTGGATTATATGATGAAAGCTTTTCCAGATGTTAAAGAACGAGAAGAAATGCGCAAAATTATTGGTCGTTACGGACTTACTGGACGTCAACAAGTATGCATGAACTTTAAAGGGAAAAGGGGGAAAAGAAAGAAAAAGAAAAACTTATGTTACAAAATGATCATACAAATCATATAATTATTTTTTAATAGGTCTGTCCAATTCGTCAATTATCTGATGGTCAACGTTGTCGTGTAGTATTTGCTTGGTTGGCTTGGCAAGTACCACATTTATTACTTCTTGACGAACCTACAAATCATCTTGATATGGAAACAATAGATGCACTTGCAGAAGCGATTAATGATTTTGATGGTGGAATGGTTCTAGTATCTCACGATTTCAGATTGATAAATCAAGTGAGCGTTATTTGAAAAAAGAGAAGAAAAAAATAATTTTCCTAGAGTTAAGATTATGTTAAAATATATGGAGAATAATTGTTTATATTTTTATTTTAGGTCGCAGAAGAGATATGGGTGTGTGAAAATGGGACAGTTACAAAGTGGAGTGGTAATATTTTGAATTATAAGGAACATCTTAAAAACAAAGTTCTCAATGATAATCAGAAAAGGCAAAAGGATTTTATCAATAGAGGAAAATAATGCAAGGCCATTTATTATTCAATATATATTAATACATTTCTCCTTTTATCCAGAGCACTCTCTATTACTTTAAAATTTTATCTATGGTCTTGATCGTTTATTGTCACTGCACTTATGCTGCTGTGTAGCGTACCGGTGACACGAGATTACCTAGTTAATTTATTTAAATAATACGTCATTAAAATATACAACAAATGTACACATTTTATGGTTATGAATTTCTAATGGTGAAAATTCTCTCTCTCTCTATCTCTATCTCTATCTCTATCTTTATCTCTATCTCTCTCTCTTTTTCTTTCCATGCATTTATCCTTTTCCATCAATTATAAGTTATCCATCAATGTTTCTCTTGCAGCAATGTATCATTATGAGATTATTAAAAATAAATTTCATTTTATGTATGAACAATTAAATCTCTTTGGAAGGAAAAAAAAAAATTATAAACATCTTTGCAAAATTGTGATGTGAAACTTATACATACAAAAAAAAAAAAAACGAGGAAGAAAAAGAACATGTAACATCTAAATGTTTTAAATAGATGATTTGAAATTTTTTTTATTGATTATTAAGATGAAATTTTTTTATTGATTATATATATATATATATATATATATATATATATATATCTTAATAATCAATACATATCTTAGAGAGTCAAATTAATTATAAAATTAAATATGAAATATTTTTCAATTTAATCCATTATCTTTTTTTAATAAAACCTTTTAATAAACTTGAGTATTCCTTAATTTTATAAATAATATCACGTGGCAATATCAATTTTTGAAAATTGACGATATCAAACATTGAAAAAAAACAATTTTTAACAGATATTGATATTTTCTCTCTCTCTCTTTCTCTCTCTCTCTCTCTCTCTCTCTCTCTCTCTCTCTCTCTCTCTCTCTCTCTCTCTCTCTCTCTATCCTTATCAAAAGGCATGCATTTTATATGCAATAATAAAATATTTTAAACAATCATAATTTCAATATAATTTTCGATATTATTTTCAATGGAAAATTATATAATGTAATTAAAAAAATATACGAAGCATGATATATACAATGTCATAACTATGATCAATATTAATAAAAATATAAAAGTGCTTCGTTATAATTCTTACAAAATATATGATATATATATTATATCGTATGTAATATCGATCTCGGTTGGGTCTTATCACTTAGAGATTAACTCTTTCTGAAAACCCATAGTCTAACGATGACTATACTTTTATATTATATTAATCATTGTCGGTCAATGTATGTATATATGTATGTATATGAAAGAAAGTTAAAAATAAGCAAAATAGAATCTTTTCTTCTTTTCATGATGTTGAAAAATAATTTTCTCTTTTACAATGGAAACATTTTAAATTGATTATTTAAAGTTTATAATGAAAAAGTCTTATCAAGTGAATTAAATGATCAATGAAATTGAATATTATTTAAAATTGAAAATTTAATCTTTACAAATGTTTACAAAATAAAATGATAATATTTTGAATTACAAGGAACATATTAAAAACAAAGTTCTCAATGATAATCAGAAAAGACAAAAGGATTTTATCAAAGAAAAATTAAATAAATAATCATTAAGAACTATTTCTTACTCATAAATAAAAAATAATCATTAATAACTATTTATAAAACGTAAATGTTTTTTATTCTTAAAATCTAATAATTAAATTATCATCGATTATTAATTATTAATTATATAATTAAATGTTTCATATTATTATTTTATTCATTTATCCCTGCCTGTTAACAGTGATTTGTTTGTGGCGAACAAAGAATTCAGGCATGATAATTGATCGATTTTGACGAACAAGATTGTATTTATAAAAAAAAAAAAAAAAAAAGAAAAAAAAACTGAAGATTTAAGCGAGCATTAATTCGACTTTTAAAAATTGTAGAGAACAAGTTTATGCATAAAATAAATCCTTTTTCATATATAAATTATTCTCGAAATAAAAGGCGCAATATTTTTGATGTCACGATTTTTTTTCTCTTTTTTTTTTTTTTTTCAAAAGAGAAAGGAAGAGAAGGTAAATCTTTTTTCAAAAATTCGAAAAAGCTGAGTAAAACTTTTAACTTTGAAATCTTTCACGGATTATGTCTGAATAAATTGCTGACGTAAAACTGTTTTCGATTATTATTTTTATGGAAATAAAAGTTTTCGTACAAGTGATGCCTTTTAAATTCAAACAATGAAATATACGTTGATTATATATCTACAATTGATTATCATATAACGCTCGAGTGACCATGAACTAGCCCATGAATGAAAGTGCTTATTAATGTCCGTAAATCGATGCTCCCATTTTCTGATTCAATTCGAAACTTTGTTATGTTCAAACAGGACAAACTATTATTAATGAACTCGCTCATCAATTTCGTCGATTAATTTGTCAAAAATAATAATAATAATGATAATAAAAATAATAATAATAATAATAATAATAATAATAATAATAATAATAATAATAATTAATAATAATTAATAATTAATAATAATTAATAATAATAATCAGAATAGAGAGAAAACAAGTTTATACTTAAATATTATATACGTGTGCAATGTGTTCTATATTGTATATGACGATGATAATGTACAATAATAAAAAAAAGAAAGAATATATTTAAACAAATGAGATACAATATGTATAGCGTTGTTTAAAGCTATTCATTATCCCTGATTTTTTAATGATTTACATTGATACTAAGATCAAGGAGAATAGACGTAATTCTTAATCGATTTTAACAAAGTTTCATTTAAAAAAAAAAAAGAAAAAAATTAAAGCTTTTTCATATGATCAAAATAAAATCTTGTTTCATCAAAGTCCTTAAACTCTCTAATTAATGTTCACTACTGTAAATCAATCGAAAATTAATTGAAATATTTTATTCTTGAATGAATATCCAATGTTTAATCTTTTATTTACAATGCAATGTATTATATTTGGTATATAATAAATAAAAAGTATTATTTAATATCCAATATCAAAACATTTATTTACATTAAAGAACATATAATTTTTATGAAATTTTTCTTTTCTTTCTTTTTATATATCTCATTGCATATATACACATATATATATATATATATATATATATGTATCTATGTATGTATGCATGTATGTATATATAATTTATCACATAATGAATATATAATAATTTCATGTATACATTGTACTAAAAAAAAAAAAGTAAGTAAATTATAAATAAATTAATACAATGTACACTCTACTTCGTATTATTACAAAAATAAAATGCAATTTAGGATATTTATTTAAAACGTAATTTGATTTATTCAATATCATGTTGCAACATTATGAATTAGGACAATGTAAATTGTTAGAAAATATATATCTAATATGGAAGACATTACGTTTATATATAAAATCTTAACTACGATATATCATTTATCAATTTTTATATAACAATACTTATTATTTTTCATTATTTCGATATATCTTCATATGTCATGTGTATTTCTAGCTATAACCTCTTTTTTAATACATTTAAAGAATTCACGTGTAACATGTATTTATATTTTATATATATATATATAAAAGTTTTATACAATTAACTATAATACTATTAGATTACTATTTGTAATTAGTTTAGTTAATAGTAATTAATTAAAAATTAAACAAATAATTTTCTTTTCTATTAAATTTAAATTTGAATTGAATTGCGAGATGATAAATTTGTTTCCAAAAATATACTGTAGATGGCGTTAAGAGCTGTCTTTTCGTGAGAGTTTACCATCGCAAATTATTCTCAGTTGATCATTACAGGAAGATTTGTTGTTATACGTAATTGAACGAATTATTTATGGGATATCAAAAATATAATAGTCAATCTATAAAGTAGATCATTTCTATAAAACATTTATATAAGAAATTTCTAAAATATTTTAATATTTTTATAAAATAAAATAAAGGCAATAGAAACAGAGACAGAGTGTGTGTATGTGTGTGTATGTGAGAGAGAGAGAGAGAAAGAGAGACAGAGAGAGCCTTTATATAAATACTGTTAATTTTCTGTTCTCCATTCAATGAAATTAATTTAGACCGATGTAGAAGCTGGAATAGAACATACAGCTTCTTGCGCTAACGCGGCATTTCTTAATATTAACAAATGTGAATCCATGTCATTTAATGCCTGATCAATGAATGTTAATTTTCTAGCTTGACTTTTTGGAACACCGTGTTTAGTTACTAACGCTAAATGAGTAACAGCTAATACCAATGCAGCCACTCTTGCTTCCAATAATCTAGCATCCAAAGGTGGATATAAACTTCGTACTACATCATCGACACGAGGTGGAATTCTTCTAGCAACCTAAAAACAATAAAAATATATATACATATATAGAATATATAATAATGATATATTATAATAATTGAAAGAATATATAAATTATACGTACATCTACTATTTCCAATGGTACTGTATTGCTATTTACTGTTCCTGCAATAGCAGTAAGACTTGCTGCCAAAGAATGACAAGAACGAAGTACAGCGATACAAGGTGGTGCTAAACCAGTAGCATCATCGACCCATCTATAAATATTTCAATGATCATATCTTTTATATATTATATTTTTAAAAAACTTTAATAATTTTAATTTATAAACATATATATATATATATATATTATACCTTTCAGCACCGGCAAGCCATTCTTCACTTTCCCATGTACCCAAACCTAATCCAGGATTATTCTCTCCTTCTAATAAATCTGAACTGAGATCTGGTGAATCTTTTTGATTCTAAAATATTATAATAAATTATAATTTTTTTTTTCTTTTTTTTTTTTTGTACATAATCTTATCTATAAGGATTTAAATTGAATGAAATCAACTAACATAATAACAACGTTGTCTACGACAAATGACAAGTAATACTAAGAGAGCACCAAGAAAAACAGCAGCAAGCGCGCCAAGTGCCACTGCCACTACTGTTTCCATTCCATTATTACCAGTTAGCGATGCAGAATTACTTATTGACACTGGTGAACTCATTTTAATTAAAAATATAATTATTATCAATAATTACAAACATATAATGGACATAATAATAACATTTGAATGTATATCAAATTTATCACGTTGAGCTTTTTGTAGGAAAACATTTAAAGTAATACGTTTTATGGTTGAACTATCAACAATGCTATCCATTCTCTTCAGTGACAGACGGTGGGAGGCGGAGACTGTCACGGATCTTATGCTCAATTCACCAGTAACAAACATTTCATTATTGGACGCATCAAACATTATATAAGATCATATATTGTTCTGATGTTTAACATATATATATATATATATATAATGTACATATATATGTATATATATATTATATACATATATATACGTTACATGTCAAATTATTTATAATATCATAAGTATCATCAAATTGAATGTATTTAAAAACAAAAAGGATACAAAAAAATATATAGTATAGATAAGATCATCGATGCTATCTATTGTATGCTCAAATCTTACACGTTTCAAGTCATATATATACATATATACACATGACTATATATATGATGTATGTATACATACGTACATGTATATATATATATAATTTTCTAAAAGTCTACAACGTGGCAGCACTGCATAGAATACTCTGGTAGAAGTATTTCGAAGTCATATGTTTCTCATACGAAAGTAGTGTGAGACGTTACTGTCAAATCCAGTGTCATTCAGTATTATTCATGGACGGTTATATAGTATCATCGAAAGAACGGAGCAAGTTATAATTTTCTTAATGATATTAATATTATCGTTATATCATTTTTCGATATTTATATTTCCTCATGACAATTAGTTTTATTAGATTTCAATGGATAAATCGTAAATCAACAATTTCTAACCTAATTCTGAGAAATTATTTATACGTAAATTTGTACATTAGATGATAAAAATATTAATATATATTTTTATTATTGAATTATTGTTGAAAATTAATATAAAAACGTTAAATCAATATATTATTCATGTTGATTTATTCTTATGTTCATTTATTATAATATAACGTGAGAAATTAGAAAAGAAAATTAAGGATTGTCCGAAGGTTTTGCATTAAGTTACAGCATATATGGTAAGAATGAACAAAAAACCTAACAGTGCGACAGCTCGCTTAAAGCAGGATTACTTACGTCTTAAAAAGGATCCTGTGCCATATGTTTTGGCAGAACCGGTACCATCTAATATATTAGAATGGTAATGGATAAATATTTTTGAATTATTTCGAATGGTTTCCTTTTTTTTTTTTTCACAGAATAATGAAAGTCATTTATTTCTACCTTTTCTTTTTTTTTCTTTTTCTTTTTTTTTTTTTTTTTTTTTCATAGGCATTATGTAGTGAAAGGACCAGAGAAGACACCCTACGAAGGAGGATTTTATCACGGAAAACTTATATTTCCAGGAGAATTTCCATTTCAACCTCCTAGCATTTATATGACAACACCAAATGGCCGATTTAAGGTTAATACAAAACTTTGTTTATCAAATACCGATTTTCATCCCGACACATGGAATCCAGCTTGGAGTGTATCAACTATACTAACAGGATTACTCAGTTTTATGGTATATAAAATCAAATATAATATTATATGTTAGAAAATGATAAGGGTTGGATTATGATATTAATATATATATATATTTTTTATGTATATATATATATTTTTTTTTTTAATTACAGATTGAAAAGAGTCCGACTTTTGGCAGTATTAATACGACAGATTATGAAAAAAGGGAATTAGCAATGCAAAGTTTGGAATATAATCTACGTGACAAAATGTTTTGTGAATTATTTCCAGAGACGGTTGAAGTAATATTCTATTTTTTTGTTTTTTTTGTTCTTCTCTTCTTCTTTTTTTTCTCTCTCTCTCTCTCTCTCTCTCTCTCTCTCTCTCTCTCTCTCTCTCTTTCCTTTCTTTGAGTAGGCAAGTGATTTAAAAAAAAAAAAAAAAAAAAAAAAAAAAAGACGGAAAAAAAAAATAACACTGAATAAATAAAATCATTTCTTTCTAATATTTTTGTTATATTGTTGTAGATCATCAAAGTGGAATTAGAACGTAGAAAAGAATTGGAAAAACAGGCAAGGCATCAGTCCACCGCATCAGAAGTTTCTTCCTTGATACGAGATCAATTACATAGAGAACAAAGTCCATTACATGGTGCAATTACTAATCTCGTTGTTCTGATTGGTTTTGCAGCATTTGCTTTTATAGTAAAATATGTATTGAGGAGCATTGCCACAGAATATAGTAAAAGTGAGTAGATTGGGGATTTAAAAGTATTCAATAAGAAAATAAAATGGTAGGAAGATGACTGCATGCATCTCACTTAAGGCTTCTCAAGACTTTAAGACATTTTGTATGAATAATATTGAATCTTAGAACATTAAGAGGAATCTTATTTATATGATTTCTTTTTCTTCTTCTTCTTCTTCTTCTTCTTTTTTTCCCCCCCACATCGCCCTCCCACCATCACCACCCTTTTTCACTTTGATTTGTGTTCGACAAATAATTTTGTAAAGCTTGTAAAAAAGTGCAAAACTAATATTCTGACTGCCTAACATCTTTACATATAATGCCTTTATATAATTTATTGTTACACGAAGATACGTTATTATTCATACTATTAAATATAAATTATTTTTTTTTTTGGAATATATACCATTTATATTTGCGATGATTTCTACGATTAGAAAATGTTGAAGCCTTAAGAAAAAAAAAAAAAAAAAAAAACAAAAAGAAAAAGAAAGGAGAAAACAAAAAAAAAGATAAAACGAGATAAAAGGGAAGGGAAAAAAAAAGAAGAAAGAAAAGAGTGAATTTATCGAAAATATATGCTACATTGACTTGCCTATTGATCTATGCCGAATTTTTGTGAAAATCATTATTCACTTTGATCAATATGTTAGTAATGGACATTTGATAGATTTTTATATCAGGGGTAATTGTAAGATGCAAATTGTACTATAATCCCTAATTTTAATGACAATGATAATTGCAGTTAGCTACAACAATAGTCTTTCTACCTTTAAAAATTACAATTCTTGATATAGATATGAAGTCATTTTAAATATACATATTTAGAATATGAAAGATCATTAATCGACTAGTGACTTCGTAACTATTAATGAAAATCCAAATTATTATTATTATTTAAACTTCCAAAGGTTAGCCATTGATGATCTAGATTTAATCGTAATTTGAAATATGATGTTAAACGATTTAAAATCATACAAATCGTAGAGATTTATTATTAGTTAATTTAAGAATTAAAAAGAAAAGTTTTTTTCTTTTTTTTTTTTTTTCCAAACAAATAATCCGTGCTATTATCATCAACAACTTTGCAAAATATTTTTCAAATAAGAAAATTTCATTTGTTCCGCTGATTTGCTTGATTTCGTTAAATGTTTATTTTAATTATGATTAAATTTAGGCGCACATTTGAAATTTTATATAATTAATGAAATGCACAAATTTAAATAAACAACTTAATCTTTGCCTCTTCGATGTGCCAATATAGAATGGATTATATATATATATATATATATATATATATATATATATATATGTGTGTATATGTATATATATATTTTACGAATGTATTAGTCAAATAAATATTTGATTCATTCGATTATTAGACACAAAATGTAAATATTAATTTATATAAAATCGATGAGAAGATAATTGATAGAGGCAAAGTCGATTCAGTTTGTTTTCATATTATATTTATTATAATTATTGATATATATATATATATATATATATATATATACATATACATATATATATACATATAAATTTCTTCCACTTAAAAATAGTTAAATATAAATTTTAATCTATCGCTTTATAATCAAATATTATCTATCTTCCTTCAAAATCTTATAAATCAATTTAAATATTAATATATTTCTTTTTTTCTTCTATAAGTTTCGAATCATGCAATTTTTCTAATAATCTATATCAATATCATTATTACTATTATGTATGTAAATTTTATAGTTATATACTTTTTTCTCTTTCCTCCTCTCCTATCGAAAAAGAAAAAGAAAAAAAAAATATATATATATATATAAGGCACACTTCGTTGATAAGAACTCTATAAGACTATACTTGAAAAACACACAAAAGCTTTTATATTCGATTAGATATTCATATCCAAAGATTGATCGATGCTTTTCTCTCTGTCTCTCTCTCTCTCTCTCTCTCTCACTCCCTCTCTCTCTCTTTAAATATATATATTTCTAATGAAATAAAATCCTTCCTACACCCTCCCTCACCAGCACCACCCCGTCTCTACTTCCTATTCCGATTAAAAATTGTACGTAGAACTTTGTAATCTCTTTTGAAATTCACGTATTAAAAGAAACGTAAACATAAATAAATTTCTATCGAAAATATTTCAAAAGATCATGAGATCTATAGAAATCGATGATGTGAGATTGATTTTTTTTTCTTTTTTTTTTTTCTTTTTTTTTTTTTGAAGTACATCTGATCGATGAAATGTGATTGATCTTTTAAAATACGTGGAAAATAAAATAATCTACTTAGAATTGACGATAATAATATTTATATATATATATATATATATATATATATATATATATATATATATAAATATATATATATATATATAATGAAGGGTAAAACACACGATACCAGAAAGAAAGGAAAAAAAAAAAGAAAGAAGAAAAGAAAAGAAGAAGCCTACGTAATAATATAAACGAGCCAATATTTAAAATAGCACAGAAATATTTTCGAACATATCAACAACAACAATAACAAAAAAAAAAACAAAACCAAAATAAAAAAAGAATGATGATCTTCTAATTGTAAAATCTAATACGTGCACGTTCGTGAGAATGCTGATAGTAAAAGATAAAAAGTAAAAAGAAAATACAAAAAAAAAGAAAAAAAAAAAGAAAAAAAACACAAAATAAATAAAACAGAAAAAAAGCGAAATGAATTAAAATAGAATTAAAAATAGAAATAGAAATATCGATATCGCGAGTATTACGATAATAGTAGCCTAACAACAAACCATAGAAAAAATAAAAGAAAAAAAAAAAAAAAAAGAAAAAGAAAGAGAGAAAGGAAAAAAAGAAAACATATTGGATCATTTTATAATTTGATTTGATAAAATGTTTACATCCGTATGTTTACAACCGATTTAAAGTATATAAAGAATAAGACACGATATTCTTGGAGACAGTGGATGGTGTTCGTAACGATAAACCGTTAGTTTTCTCTGAATGGTTCGTTGTCCAAGTGCTCTCGGGAGGAAGGACAACATCCTGTGAACCAGCTTTGGTTTTCTTGTCTGATCCCTTATAACCATATAACCGTCTTATAAGTAAAAAAAAAAAAGAAAGAAAAAAAAAAAGGAAAAAAAAAAAGAAGAAGAAGAAGAAGAAACCTTGCCGACCTTTGTACTCTTCCCTTCTCTTTCTTTTCTTTTTCTTAATTTCTTTTTCTTTCTTTCTATTTTTTTTTTTCATTTCCCCCTTTTTTTTTTCTTCTCTCTTTTTCTCTATCCTAAATTTTCCTTCCTCTTTCTTCCATATTCATCAAAATTCGTCTCGATATTTTCGATTAAAATGAAGAAGAAGAAGAAGAAGAAGAAAAATATATAAGGGAAGGAAAAAAGAAATTATAATAATTAATTTATTAAATGATAATATATAATTTGATATAAAAAAAAAAAGAAAGGAAAAAAAAGAGAAATAAAATATTTACAAATAAATAAATCAATCGATCGATAAACAATTTAAACAATTCTGACGTTTAACATTTCATTTTGTATGATATATATAAAAACGAACGTGTACATAATACTTACAAAAAAACAATGAAATAACTCATATTTGCGTGTGTATGTGTATGAGCGTGTTGAATGTGTATATGAAAAATCTGTTATCGCTATATTACCCTTTATAATAGTTTTCGATTAGCTTCCTATATATTAATTAGATTAGACGTAAGCGTGCCTTTAAGATCAATTAAGAAACTTTTAATTGAGGAGCTTAAAAACTTCCTTTAATAATAATAATAATAATAATAATAATAATAATAATAATAATAATAATAATAATAATAATAATAATAATAATAATAATAATAATAATAATAATAATAATAATAATAGTAATAAAATAAATACATATACATATATTCGCGTTCTCTCCGTCATCGTAGATCGTGATTTACACGATTGTACGTAGATCATATATAGAAGCTCCTTATATTAATCAACATTTTCATCAATAAACCAACATATGTACAAACAAATTTTATTACTAAGATATTCGAAGAAAATTCTGTACAGGGACATATTAAACAGACTGTTTACATTTTTTTTCCTGTTATATACGGTTTATTGAATAAAATACATGCGTTTCCAATTGTCTATCATCATTCTTTTTCTCTCTCTCTCTCTCTCTTTATCTATCTATCTATCTTTACTATAGTCTTCCTTTTCTTCTATTGATATAATAATTGATTGTAAGATAGACAGTAACATTTGTTAACAAAATAAACATTATAATTATAGAAAAATAATTTTTAAAAATAATAAATTTCATAGAATATAAATTTACTCTTTTCTAATTCAATATCTAATTTATATATATATATATATATAATTAATTAATTAATTATATATATATATAATTAATTAATTAATTAATTTTAATCGAATAAAATTTGTTAAGAAAAATAAATGATGAGAAACAAAATAAGAAAATAATAATAATAATTTCAACGATCAATAAATATCGCAAGATGTATAATACATTTTATTCATTCGATATATTTTAATTATTATCTAAATATAATTTGAATTTAATAAAATTTGAAAAATGATAAAAAGAAAGGAATGAATGAGATAAAAGAAAACATTCTGAGAATTATAAAATTTCACACGACGAATAGTAACATCTGTTACGTGTACGTGATCCTTCTATTTTCTCGATGCCTAAAAGAAATTCACCTTAATCTATGAAAACAAGCCGCAAAAGAAGCAAACAGCTATTTATTCGTTCACGAAATAACAAGGAAGTCGTAGAAGAGTGCTGCTCCTTCGGTAGCTTTACTTTTTAGTTAGTACGTGTTAAGAACGCCCTCGTTGCATAAATCATCGAAAGAGGCGCCAGGACTTTTTGGTTTCGGCCTGACTCCTGGGCAAATAAGTTACACGTGTCGACGATGACTGTATAATTTTAAAATTATATATATATATATATATATATATATATATATATATATATATGTACGTAGTTATATATGCATATATAAATATCGTTCGTTAAAATTATAAAATGGATCGGCCTATGAAATATTTCAATGAAATTTTCAAATCTCTTTGGAATTTAACATAAATTTTTTTGATATTAAATAATTATGAAAAAGAAGATAAATAACGTTCACGTAAAAAAAACTTGAATTTATATATTTACACACACACACACACACACACACACATACATACACATACAGATACATATCTGTATACTGTATATAAATTATATTATAATATAAATATTTATATAAATTATATTGTATATAACTTATATTATAATATAAATATGTATATAAATTATATTGTATATAAATTATATTATAATATAAATATGTATATAAATTATTATGTATATAAATAACTGTATATACATTATACTGTATATGAATTATACTACATCTGTATAATTTATAAAAGATTTAAAAGATAAAAAAAAAAAAAAATATAAAAGGACGAACAAATAAGATCTAATTTATATCAATTTATATATCAATGTTTATATCTTGG